TACTAATTATAATTAGTAAAATACGTATTTTTCCTTACATATAAAAGTTTTTAATTTTACTAACAAATATTTTTTATATGTAAAGCGTGGGAAAATTTTTTTTCCTCCTTTACAATCAATCAAAATGTCTTTGCGCTTTAAGTCTACAGCTGTGAATTAATTGTCTAAATAACATAACTCATGAGCTATAAAATGATATAAAATTCAAAAAATAATTACTAGAAAAAACATATGTTTTACTATATAATTTTGAACCGGACGATACTTTTTGTGGGTACTGTACATGTAAATAAAACAGTCTAACAGAATTCGCGCGAGATTTTTTATTTATCATAAGTTTTTGCAGATAATAAGAAAATGTAACAAAACAACCGGCTGAAAAAATAAGGAAATAAAAAATGGTCCATTTTTTGAAATTGAACACTTAAACAATATTTGTGCGACAAATAATTGTTAATATCTTATAATAAAGAGACATAAAAATAGGGAACCAAACAGGACAGGGAAAAAAAAATGCTTGTATACAATTCCGTATGTAAGACATGTTCTGGATGATGAGTCAGTTTTTCCCTTAAACTGCCAAATAATATTTTTAAAATAAAATATAAGAAATTTTGGGTAAGAAACGAAATGATGACAGTGCATTAGTAAGTTTTTGCCCCTTAGACTATAAAATAGATAAAATATAAGAAATTTGGATAAGAAACGAAAATAAGAAAGAGAGAATTAAAGACTTTGACGCCAAATCCCTTGTCTCTCATTGTAACAGTTTTGGTGAGAAATTTCTATATCATTTCTCGGTTCTTGAAGACTGCGAGGAGTTAAAAATGAATTTGGTAATGAAAATTGTGGTGCTGGATTATATGAATCAGGAAATGATGAAATGTTTGGAAGAGAAGGTCGGATCTCTTCGATATTGTTTACGATTTTTGGTAAAAAATTATCTCGAAAATTTATTGATGGCAAAAACGGATCTATAAAATCACAAAAAGCTCTTTCATTAATAAATTCAAGAAAGTTCAAATGAAATGCTTTACATACCCGTTGAACTCATATTATCTTTGAGCTCAAAAGGCATCGAACTCGAGTTCATTGGAGATACACAGTTAAAATCTAATATTCCTCTAGAAATCATATGACTGCATTGCGGAGACTTTAATAACGGTAATCCCGGTTTGAAGCCATTTCGAACGGTCGGATAATCAGGATTTGACTTTGGCGGAGATTGAGAGTATTCCCTGATTCTTGAAAGTCGTGACTCTATAATTTCTTTATGTGCATTCTTTGGTGGCCCTCTTTTCTTAGTTGGATTTATAAATACGCAATCTAAATTATTCTTCATACAGCGCTGGCAGCATGGCTTCCCACTGCATCGCGCTTTACGATTTCTGCAGTTTTGACATGCAATAGTGACATGTTTGCGAATTTTCGATGTCATTATCTGTTAAAGGAACGCAGAAATATTTTTGTCATAAACGAGTTAACTTTAAAAAATAAAAAAAAGTTAAACGAAATGAAAGGAACGTATTAGATCATACCGGGGGGGTTAACATGAACCTACAAAAAAGTTTGTGAAAATGACTATGATTATTTTAGTACATGTGGCGCTCAAAAGTAATGCATCACCAAACGAATCGGGATTGTTAGCAATATAGACACCACAGGTAAATGAAAATTTAGCCCATATATAGTTAAAAGCAAACATAAATAGTAATAGTACACCACCTCTTTTTGAATATACTAATACCAATTTTATCATTACCATTACCATTACCATTACCATTACGTATGCAGTGTTACAATTTTTAATCACGATCATAAAAGAAAATTAAGCTAATAATATCTATATACCTATATACGTATATACGTTATACTGATAAATTTAATATTAACGTATCCAATATTTCCAAGTATCAATATTTGCTTTCGCAAGCGCTCCGGGAATAACACCACAAATAAATGTACTACATGCTAAAAAAATCGAACTCTGACTAGGATGATGTAATACAGTATTCTGCTTTACATATTCCCGCAAAATCAAATCTGATAAAGCGTAAAAAACTAAATCTTTCGTTTTCAACAATTTCGGTTTAGCAGTTTGATAAAATCGCAAATTAACAAATCCTTTTCGCTTCATTTTTGCTTTGGTGGCACAGGTAAAAACATCAACGCAATTATTTGTTCATAGAATTCTGAGGTTAATGTTTCAATCACCTCCAATAATTCCATAACTTCGTTTTTTGCATCAATCAAACGAGGATTATATTTCATTCGTGCAATACAATTATCACATTTGTTGCATTCTGAACAGTTGTCATCCTCTTCCCATGAATAATATTCCGTGAGTAATTGAATACGACATGTATATTGAGTGCGACAGAAAAAGAGTACTTCAAATATACTTTTGGCACCTTTTTCTAAAACATATTTGCGTGCATCATCATTGTGTTGATTTATAAAAGGATAATAGAATAAGCGCTAAGTATAAATACTAATACAATATTTGATTTAAAAAGAACATAATACCTACGTTGCTCGATTATTTGCAATAATTCCATAATTCGTTCGGATATCTCTTCCCGAATAATATATGAAAATTCTGGATAGAAAACCATCACGTTGTACGACCCGCTCCCGAATCAACTTCCTAACTTATATTAATAAGAAATCAATTTTATTCTAAATAAAAATTTCAATAGTTAATATTTACATACTTATTGATAAGGGACTAGAAGCAAACATAACACAACGAACGTCTTGAGAATTAATTATCATAACCTTTGCTATATCTTGCTTCCATCGTAACATTACTTCTTGTTTTTAATATTATCAAGACCTCCATGATAAATATCAAAATCATAGAGTAGCACAATAAATTATAATTCGACCTTCTTTGATTTCTTGAATAATTATTTCAAGCTCATCAACAAAAACTAATTTAGCATCTTTTCTTTTTCGAACTTCAAAAATTAATTCATCCCGCGTGAAAGAAGTGCCTCGAATTATATTCCAATGATCAATAGAAATTTTTAGATATTTTACGATTTGCTCAACCTCATTACGTGTCACTATTGCAGATGTGGAGTATTGGGCCATTCTTCATGTATAATATTTAAATTTCCCCATGAATTTCTATAAAATTAATTATTAATATTTTATTGTTAATCAATATTATACCTAAGTCTTGATTTCAAATTTGTTCTTTTGTTTATATTTGTATGGAATTATTTCCTACAAAAAAATAAAAACAAAAATAATTATAAATAGATTTTAGAATTATAAAATATTAAGTTAAGAAATATCTAGAAAAAGTCAAATCCTTGTAATTTAATTTTTTAGAATTTTTGAATGTATCATTATCTTTATTTGTAAACTTATTAATTTTTTCTTTTAACTATTTAATTATTTGATTAATTATATATAATACTTGTTAAATAGCATTATATTTTAATATTAAAATATGAATGCTTAATAATAACAAGACTTTTTTAAAAGAATCTAAATGAATATCACTATTATTATTATTATAATATATTATCATATAAATTTCTCATTTTTTTCTTTAAATATTATTTATAAAAATATATTTTTTTTGATTATAGATTAAAATTTTTTAGAAGAAGAATCAAACTATGAAAGAGTTATTAATACTATAGATAATTATAGATATCAAAGATGAGTATAGATTAAAAATTATAAAAGTTCAAATAAAAAAGATCTAAAATAGAGTAAATAATATATTTGAAGTTTGTTTTATTAAAGAAATAAATAAAATCCTAAAAATTCTTTTTCTCTTTTCTTTATTTCTGAAAATATTTTATTAGTCTTATAATTCTTTCAAAGAAAAACTAATTATTAATTTTCTTTACTAATAATTAATTTGTAATAATAATTATTTACTTTTGTATAAATTATATAGTCAGATAAAAGAAAATTTAGATTCTGTCTAAATTTACTAAATTTTAATATATATATATTTTATATTTATATTATTAAGTTTAAAAATTTTAATTTTTTTATTAAAATCTTTATTCAACTGAAATTTATAAAACTTTTTATAAATATCTTTCTAATTAACTAGCTATCATTAGAATATTTATAAGTAATATTATTATTTTTATTTTATTGAACAAGTATATTAGCTTACCTTAATATTAAAAAGAATATATATAATAATAATAATATGTAAAAAAAAATTTCTAGATTTATATATATATATTATAAATATAATTAATTTCTATTATAGTTAATTAATAAAAATATTTATTTAATACTAATATTACAAATTAAAATATATATAAAGATTTTATTCTCTTTTTTTCATTATTATTTATTATTTTAATTGGATAATATTTTCTATTCAACTTGTTATTATTGGTTAATTATTTTTATTAATATTTTATACTAGTACTTTTTATTAAGAAATATAACTTTTTCTAGTTTAATTTTAATAATATAATTTTATATAATGAATTTTTTATCATAATAAATTTATAGCTTATATTTTCCTGCTTATTAATAAGTTTTTATTAATATATTCTAATTGTAATAAGTTTTTAAATTCTCAGTCAGTTATAATTTTTCTGAATTATTATTTGCAATTTAATTAAATCAAGCTAATATTAATTATATTATTAGTAAAGATTTTTATTCTTTAATATTTTTTTAATTATTAATGATTAGTTATATTATTAGTAAAATTCTTTTATTCTTTAATATTTTTTTAATTATTAATTATTAGCTATTTTTTAATATTTTTTTAATTATTATTATAATATAGTTCTGTAAATTATAGAAATTTTTTCAAATAAAAATATAATATTAACTTAATTAATAAATTTATATTTTATATAATATATATATTAATTATTTTGAAATTTCTAGATATGTATTCAACTTTATTTAATTAAAGTATTAATTAAAATCTCAAGTAAATCTATCTTATTAATTATATTAATTAATTTAATTTAATAGAATTATCTTTATAAAGTATAAATTTTAAGTATTAAATATATATATATATTTATTATTGTTAAATTAAGCTATACATATAATTCTCTTTTCAATAATAATAAATAAAATTCTAAAATTGTAAATTCTGGTAGTTTTAAATATTTACAGCTTAAAATACTAATATTATATATATAAAGCTAGAATAAGAATATTTATATAGAAATTATATATTGGTATTAATGATTTACTTCTTTTAATATTAGAATTCTATATTTAGAATTTTATGAGTTTGAGATTATATTTATTGAATTAATTGATTTTTAAAATTATTGTTATCAGAATTTATACCAGATCCTAAATATAAATAATTATAATATAATTAAAATCTTCTCAAAAATTATAATAATAATATTATTTTTCTTAAAAATAATCTAAATAAGTTATTTTGAAACTAAAATAATTAATAGATAGACTTTTATTGAAAAAAATAAAAGAATTTTAGAATTCTGTCAAAAAAAAGTTTTATATATATCTTCTTAAAAATTATAATAATATTACTATTTTTCTTAAAAATAATCTAAATAAGTTATTTGAAACTAAAATAATTAAAAAATAAGCTTTATTAAAGAAGCTAAAAGAATTTTTAAGACTCTATTAATTAACTTTTCTAACCAAGAAATATTTATTTATTTAAATCTTCAAAATCAAGCCAGAGAACTAAAAAATAGTGAAGTTCTTTTTCTAGATGGCAAATCTTGATATGAAACAGAATTTAGAGTAGAAATTATTAAAAAGAAAAAAATTTTTATATATCTTCTCAAAAATTCTTAAAAATTATAATATTTATTACATTTTAATAATCTAATTCCTATAGCATTTATAAACTAGCATATCTTATTTGAAAAAATACTACAGATAATTTTTCTCAAAAACAAAAAATAATAATAAAATAAAGCTTTATCAAAGAATTAAAAGACTTTTTAAAACTTCATCAGGAATAAAAAAGATTTGTATATATACTCAAATTATTCCTATTTTTTGATATTATTTCTAATACTATTTGAAACTAATAATTTTATTTGAAAATTATAAGCAGTCTAAGTAAATTATTAAGAAATTGAAAAACTTTTAGAGTTTAATAAGAGTAGAGAGAAGAATTTGCATCAGTTTGAAAATTCATATCAATATTAATACTTCTTTTTGCTAATAGTCAACACATTTTGATTATCATTCTGTATATCCTTAACTTGGACTTTATTATATCAAACTGATGATGCATTTCTTTTAATCATTCCCCCTTCAAAACAAATATATAATTAAATAAAAAACACACAACAAAACAAAACACACCAACTATAAATAAAATTATGAATTCACTCTTTTATCTCATATAATTAAAATTATTATGATGTATATTTCTGTTAAAATAAGATCCTAAATTTACACCCTTCATAAAGAGGTCT